ATGTGACGCTCTCTCTGCCGTGTGTAGGGTGCGGGTGTGCTACCTTTGGGAAGCAGGTATGTGACGCTCTCTCTGCCGTGTGTAGGGTGCGGGTGGGCCTCTTCTTGGTGATCTCTATGCTTCGACGACCTAGCTGGAAAAACTTGTCCGCGGTTTTGAAAGCTTACGTAATGGTCTTGTCTTGCACATAGTTCTTTTGTTTCCCACTGTGAGCCAGACCAGATGGTAACATTTTTCAGGAAATGATCTAATGACAAGAAAACATTCAAAATATGTCATTGTCTTCATCTCCCAGTGCCATTGTAACAGAAGTGCCACATATTGGGGGCTTTACCGAACCGAACTTTATTCTTTCACCGTTCTAGAGGTTTGACGTCTGACTTCAGGGCACCATCTCGAGGGGAAGGCTTTCTCTCTTTGGGGTCTGGGGAAGGCCCTTGTCTCTGTTTCTGTAACCGTGGCACACCTGGGCTCCTTGGGGATCTTTCCCCTCTCTTGCTGGCTTCTCTGTGGCTAATCTGCTTTCTTTCTATCTCAAAAGTGATTAGAAAAAAAAAAAAAAAAAGTGATTATGGTTAGGCCCCCCCACACATACTGATACGGAGTCCTGGTGTGGTGCTGCAAGGTCAGTTTGAACCACAAGGTTGGCGGTTCAAGCTCACCAGCTGCTCCTTGGAAACCCTATATGGGGTTGCTATGAGTCAGAACTGACTCAATGGCACTTAACAACAACAACAACTACACTAATATGACCTCGTTTACCTGACAGAGAAATCCCTATTCCCAAATGGAATCACTTCCACAGAGATAGGACTCCCAGCACATAGCTGTTGTTTTTTTAAGGTTTTTATTGTGGATTGAGTGTAAGTTTACAGGGCACATCATCGGTTTCACATTCAAACATTCATATACCTTGTTTCATTACATTGATTATAATCCCCTCCACATACCATCAGTTAACAGTGTTTCTCTCTATCCTCTTTAGCTTTTTTTTTTTTGGGGGGGGGCAACTTTGCCTTTTTGGAATTTACAGTCTCGGCTTTTAGGGAAGGTTTTTACATTTATCTGTGGATATCCAGGGCTCATGTATGGAATTACTAACCAGCGTAACTGAATAATCAGATGAAGGACAGTTTGCTATGTCTGCTAGGTAGCTAAAGTCTGATCCTCAGAGCCTATGGTTTGGATGGTCTGCAACGCTTGGGCCCACAGGGACTTGAACTCCTGACCGGGTCTGCACGGTCTGCATCAGATTCCCCCTTATTTATTATTTGTTTAAGGGACGCTGCCTGTCTTAGGCGGTCAGTGTGAATTCCTCAGTCTTACCCGTCATCAAAACTCATTGCAGCATGGCAATGGCTCTGTCTTAGGTTGCCGAGGTTCCACGTGACCAGCACATACTTTTGGGGGACACAGTTCAACCCATAACAGCTAATGATCACTTTTTAATTGTTTCCAAACGGAAGGTCTCACGTATTTATGACTGGAGCAACCTATGAATACGGAAGCATGAAAACAGGAAACCTGACATTTTCCACCAGCTCCTCTCAGGGGACATTTCCCACTTGACACAGCCAGCTGCTGGTGGCCTTTGCAGCACATCAGTCCATGCACCATCACACACACGCTTCCTCAGAGACCAGCAGGGCGGCTCGCCAGTGCCCCCCTTGGAGTTGGACCGGATTCCAATTCCAGCTTTCCTTCGAATCTGTGGGGATTTGTCTTCTTGTTTGTTGTTGTTAGTTGCCATGAAGCCAACCCTGACTCGTGGCAACCCCTGGTAGGCGAGAGTAGAACTGTGCGCCGTACGGTGTTCGTTTCCTTCCCGAGGGTTTCCAGTGGCTGACTTTGCTGAAGTAGATCTCCTTTCCTCTAAGGCTCATCTGGGTGGGCTCAGACCTCCAACCTTTGGGCTAATAGCCGAGTTCTTTACTGTTTGTGCCCGCCAGGGAGCCTCAGATCCACTGGGGCCTGGGATGGTGGAAGGTTCTGGCAGTCCCTTGAGAAAATGTGAGGAGGATTGAAGTACCATGAGGGCCAAGGCTGGGAGGGAGAGCTGGAGATGCTTTTATGTGCACGCATGTGCGTGCATGTGGTAAAAACACGTGTAACGACCTTCCCATCTCAACTATTTCCACATGTACAGTTCAGTGACAGTGATGTCATTCTTCATGCTGTGCAACCTTTCTCGCCCTCCTTTCCTGAACCTTCCCGCCACCATGAACATAAACCCAGTGCCCTGTGAACAGCGGCCCTCCCTGATCCCGCCTTGCCCTCCCCTGGGAACCATAACAGCCTTTCCTTTCGATGCACTGCCTTATTTCATGTAGGTGAGCAGTGGCAGTATCTGCCCTCTCATACCTGACTTCTGCTCAGTGTGATGGCCACAGTGTAATGGGAGGTGTTGCATGCAGCCAGCCTGTAGTTCTCCCTGTACCTGAGCAATGTCCCATTCTGTGGATGGACCACACACAGTTTCTGTGTCCGTTCACCCATCTTTTCGCTGCAGTGAGCCCTGGCAGACAGGTTTCTGTGGGCACTGCTGCCTTCACCTCTTCTAGGGCCACGTAACAGTGGAATGTGCAGCTTTCTGAGAACTCCAGATACCACAGTCCAGGAGACATCCTTTGATCTGGTTGGTTGTGTCTTTTTGTTGTTCAGTTGTAGACATTTTATAACTATGGTTGTTTTTGCTACAGCTTCCCAGATACCACGGTACAAAGAGGCCTTGAGACCGAGGGGCCATGGGAGAATGGAATGAAGAGGGACGTGCTGGCATCGCCGCTGCTCAACCTAGCAAGCAGAGTCTGCCGACAGGCCCACACAATGGCAGCCACTGATGTGGACTCCACACAGGGTGAGTCCCTGGTCAGTAGGCACCCGCAGAGACGAGGACTTAGGACCCCCTGTACAACAGGGGTGGTCTCAAGGTGGGGGGAACCATGTGGCCATGGCAGAGTTTGGCCAGGAGATAGGGGGGCAGACGATGCTGGAGCACAGGGACACGAGTCCGGTCTGCTGAGGTCTGAGATGGCACTTCCCAACATTTAAGAGGACAGTTTTCAGAGGATCAAATACAACCCCAGTTATGAATTACTTCTCTGAGTTTGTTTTTCCATCTGTAGAATAAGAATGTCACTGCCTTTCTTGGGAGTCACAAGACTCTTGGCACCATGCAGGCTGTGGGCAAGGCTAGATACCGTTGCTTGGGGTAGAGGCTTGGCAACATCTATGCTTGTGAGTCTAAGGATTTGGGAAGTCTTAGCATCACCTTGGAGCTCCTGGGTGGTGCAAACAGTGAGCACACTTGGCTGCTAACCAAAAGGTTGGAGGTTCAAGTCTACCCAGGGCACCTACTCAGGAGAGAATTGGTGATGTACCTCCAGAGAGCTCAGCTTCTGAAAACTCTGTGGAGCACAATTCTCTGGCACACATGGGTTGTAGTCAGTTCAGTGGCAACTGGATTTTCGTGGACTCACCAGCTCCTTTCTTTCCCCTACCTCTCTAGCTTTGCCTGCTCAGGACTTTGGCCATACCCATGAGGGGAGCACAAAGAAGGAAGAGATGGTTACGGGGTTTCTGACAACTTGGTCCCACGTGAGTGGAAAACTCCTCAATCTGCAAAAACAATGTCCTTTTCTTGTAAGAGTGGATCCCCTTTCCTTCCTGTGGCCTAGAGTTTGACAGTCAGCCATGTCTGGTCTCTAGTTTCCTTGAAGTGTGTAACTCTCTTAGGGGAAATGATCTACTGCCCCAACTCTTTCGGTCTCACTCAGCCTCCTCCTAGGCTGACCTACTGCTCTGTATTGTGCTGGGACCTGTGAGGGAAACAAAGGAAGAATGTGTGAGAATGTTTGTCTTCTTAGGAGAAAGAATCCGTCTGTTCCCTGAGTATCATTCCTGCCCTTAGGCCTGTGGGGGAACCAGGGGCAGATCTGAGTAGGTTGAAGAAGTCCCAGTGTCACTGAAGAAAGTCACACTGGTTTCCAGTCATACGTTAGAGGAGCTTTTAAAGCCACAAGACAGGATGTGCTCCACTTGGGAAGGCTCTGAGGTCTGAGCTTGGGGATGAATGAATGTCACCCCTCATCCCCTGCCCCCTGGACACAGTGGGGGTGATCCCTGGCAGAGCTGGACCATATGGGATGTTTCAGGTCTCAGTGGCCTTTGAGGATGTGGCTGTGGACTTTACCCCAGAGGAATGGATGCTGCTGGACCCTTCGCAGAGGACCCTCTACCGGGAAGTGATGATGGAGACCTACAGGAACCTGGCGTCGCTTGGTAAGGCTAACCCCGTTCCTTCACAGCCCATAGACCAGGGTCCCTGCTCCTGGGCGCTGCTGACTTCAGGGCTGGATCATTCTCAGGGGTAGCTTTCACCCACTTAGTGTCAGTGGCACTGCCCTCTGATTCGGGGCAAATAAAAAATGTCTCTAGATGTTGCTAAGTATCCCCTGGGGGGACACAGTTACCCCAGTTGGAAACCACTGGGTTAGGGACTTGCGTTGATCCCCAAGAGACTGTGTACATAGTCATCTGGTCTCTTGCCATTCGAGGACGTTGTGCACATTTAAATTCACACACTGAGTGGGAGGAGGGAGGAAGGAAGCCTGAGAGGCCGGAGGAGGACACTTTATACTGCCCCCTGTCCCTCTCTCCCCGCCCCAGAGAAGGGTCCAATTGGCGACCTCAGTGAGGATGTTTGTTTTGTGTTTTGCTTTAGCACCTTCTCCATGTACTATTCACTTGTCGGCATCAGTCCAGCCCTGGATCTGTGGTGTCCAAAGGACGCACTCCACTCCCGGCTCTTCCTTCTTGGTGGGAGTAGGTCCCAGTTTGTTGTTGCTTTGTGACTTTTGAGACCCCATGTGTTAGAGAGGAGAGCTGTTTCAAGGGATTTCTTGGCTGTCATCTTTATAGAACCAGATCACCAGCCACGGTGCCACTGGGTGGGTTCGAACCATGTATAAACCGTTGGCACCACCCGGAGGCCTTTGCATATACAACTCAGTGACGTCGATTCCGGTCTTCAAGGTGCACAGTCATTTTCACTCTCCCTCTCCAGATCAGTCCACCACCACTAACATGAACCCACTGCCCCATCAAAGCTGTGCTTTTCTACTCCGTCTGGAGTCCAAGACAAGAGTAAGTGTTTTATTGAGGGAGGTAGCCGCTAGAGCTGGGCAGCGCAACAAAAGCAAGAAGCTCTGCCATGCTCCGAAAGACACACACACAAGGAACCCTTTACAGGGCAAAACTGCGAAAGAAAAACTCACCAAAACCAAAATATGACAAAGTGTTACAAACACCCCTTCGGAACCACTGGGACATTTCTGAGCACATTCTGAAGCAGCATTTGTCAGAGAACTGTTGTTGTTGTTAGGTGCTGTGGAGTCAGTACCAGCTCATAGCTACCTTATGCACAACAGGACGAAACACTGCCCGGTCCTGTGCCCACCTCACAATCATTGCTAAGCTGGAGCTCATTGCTGCTGCCACTGTGCCAGTCCATCTCGTTGGGGGGTCTTTCTCCTTTTCGCTGACCCTCCACTTTACCAAGCATTCAGAGAGCTGGCTGACCATAGCTCTTAGCAGGTGCTTCATCCTTGAGCAAGTCAGACCACATTCTGAGCTGCTGCACGAATGACGGGGCGGTGGAAGGTGACAGCAGCCGCCACAGAACTTATCACCAACACGCAGCTGGGCTCGGGTCTCAGCACGACCGGCTTCATTGTCAGCTGCCTCGGCATTTAAGTCCCCCTGCTCCCCTCCCTCGTAGATGTGAGCACAGACAGTGCTTGTCCTTTGTGACTGGCTACGTTTCTGAGGTTCATCCACGTGGTGGTGTGTCTCTGGGCTGCATTTCTCTTTACGTAGCGTGGTGCTCCACTCTAGAGACAGAACACGCTGCCTTCCCCCATCTCTCGCTTTTACCTTGTGGCTCCTGTGAACAGTGCTGCTGTGAACACGGGTGCCCAGGTTTCTGTTTGCATCCCGGCTTTCATTTCTGGGCCTATACCTTAGAGTGGAATCGCTGGGTCATATATGAAAAGTGTATGTTTAACTTTTTGAGGACACACAAACTCTTAGAATGTTCTTTTTCTCTTTAAACTTTCCGTTTCCCACGTGGAATCTGCTTCTCACTTGATGGCCCCGGTCTCTTTTTCAGTACCAGCCTCCAGTACCCTGATGTTTCTTCCTAAGCTGGTTACCATTTCTACTCCGTTGCTACTACAGTAGTGTAATGAAACTTACAAAGACCTGGAGTTAGGAAACCCGAAGGGAAGAGCAGTGTGATGGTTAGGGTTTTGTGTCAACTTGGCTGAACCTGACTGCTCGGTGGTTTAGCAGTTAAGACGTAGCTATCCCCACCCCATGAGATCGAATGTAATATAACTCCCCTGGTGATGTGATCTGATGGGTTTGTTTACCCTGCCTGTGATAAATCCTGACTTCCACAGTTTCACTGCGAGTCCTGGGGTAGGATCTGCACTGGACTGTGAACCACAAGGTCAGCACTTCAAACCCACCCGCTGCTCCTCAACCCTACACAGGGTTGCTATGAGTCAGAACGGACTCAACAGCACTTCACAACAGCAATCACAACACGATGCTACTTACTGGGTGTGAGCTACAGGTTTAGGCTGTATCTTTTTTTTTTTTTCAGATTCCAAAGTTCTGTATTTTTTAAATTAAGGTCACACATTATTTAGAGACAGTCTACACAAGAGTTACAAATAGTTGCCCAGGCATAAGCATACACAGGTTGTTAATTATACACATAAGGTTACAAGTGTGCTTGCCAACAAGTTCATAGGAAATAGGGTTAGGCTGGACCTTGAGTCAGTCTCTTCCAAGACATAAAAGGAGAGAGACGTGGGCAGAGAGAAGGGGCCCTGCTGCCACCAGCAAAGAGGAGCCTTTGGACCTGGGGTCCCCGCACTGTGAAGCTCCCAAATCCAAGGAAAGATTGATGCCAAGACACGTGGAGATCTCCAAGGAATGCTGGGCCTATGGATGCTGAGAGGGGACAAGGAGCTCTCCCCAGAGCCGGAAGTAAACTCTGAGAGAATACAAGGAATGCTGGGCCTACGGATGCTGAGAGGGGACAAGGAGCTCTCTCCAGAGCCAGCAGTAAACTGAGAGAATACATTTCTCTGTGTTAAAGCCATCCACTTGTTACAGCAGCACTAGACAACTAAGACAGGTGTGCTCAGCATGTCTCAACCTGAAAGGACTGAAGACAAAAATTCAGTCTTGACTGGAAGTATTGAAGGATCCTATGGGCAAAATATTGACTAATGCAGGACGGAAGGAACACACAGTCACTGTACCTGGAAGAATTGGTCGACCTTCAGCCATATAATCAGAAACCAGCGATATTGAAGGAAGAAATCTAGGCTGCGCTGAAGACACTGGCGAAAAACAGAGCTCCAGGAATGGATGGAAGACAGACTGACATGTTCCAACAGACAGCGGCTCTGCTGGAGGTGCTCACTCATCTACACCAAGAAATCCGAAACAGCGGCCTGGCCAGCTGACTGGAAGAGGTCTGTGTGTATTCTTGCCCATTCCAAAGAAAGGTGAGCCTATAGAATGCAGAAAGTAGCTAACTCTCACTGACATGCAAGTCAATTTTTACTTCCAATAACTCAAAATCAATTGCAGCAGTGTATCAACAGGGAGCTACCACAAATTCAAGCTGACTTTAGAAGAGGATGTGGAGTGAGAGATGTCAGTGCTGACAATAGATGAATCTTGGCTGAGAGCAGAGACGATCACAAAGGTGCTTACCTGTGTTTTATTGACTTAGCGATTTTCCATTGTGGGAATCACAACAAATGATAGAAACATTGTGAGGAATGAGAATTCCAGAACACTTAGTTGTGCTCATGCGGAACCTATATGTACTCAAGAGGGACATAGTTGTTCAGACAGAACAAGGGAGCGCTGCATTGTTTAAAATCGGGAAAGGGTGTATTCTTTTCGCTCTGTTTAATCAATTTCTGCACTTAGCAAATAATCCGAGAAGGTGGACTAGCTGAAGCAGAACGTGGCATCAGGATTGGAGGAAGACTCATTAATAACCTGCGATATGCAGATGATACAACCTGGTTCCCTGAAAGTGAAGAAGCTCTTTTTGATGCAGCTCAAAGACTACAGCCTTCAGTATGGGTTGCACCTCAACACAAAATGAAAATCCTCCCCACTAGACCAACACGCAGCATTAGGCAAACAGAGAAAAGATGGACGTTGTTAAGGATTCATTTTTCCGGGATTCACAATCACTGCCCCTAGAAGCAGCAGCCAAGAAATGACAGACGGTGTTGGGGATGTGCTGCAGTAGACGGATTTGCTCCTGAGACCCCTTAAAATGTTAAAAGACAAGGACAGCACTCTGAAGACTAAGGTGCATCTGACCCAAGGCTTAGTATTTTCAATCTTGTCATTTTCATGCAAAAAAAAAGGGCTAATGAATCAGAAGACCAAAGACGAATTGATGCTTTTGAAATTATGGTGTTGCTGAAGACTATTGAATATACCATGGACAAACAAATCGGTCTTGGAAGAAGCAAGGATGAAGACAAGACTCCATCTCCTGTACTTTGAACATGTTATCAGGAGGGACAGTCCCTGGAGAAGGACATCATGCTTGGTAATGTGGAAGGTCGGCAAAATAGAGAATAACTCTCAAGGGCTTGGATTGGCACAGTAGCAACAACGAAGGGCACAACCATAGCCATAATTGTGAGGATGGTGCCCGACCAGGCAGTGTGCCCTTCTGTTGTGCGTGGGAACTGACTAGCCAACACCTCTAACAGCTGCCTTCTGTTGTGCGTGGGAACTGACTAGCCAACACCTCTAACAGCTGC